AAAAAGACGTCTTTTGAACGTTCGAAAGACGTCCAAAACGTTCAAACGACGTTTAAAAGACGTCCAAAACGTGTATAAGACGTTTAAAAATGGGTTGTAAAGAACTAAAAATGGTTTTAAAAATGGATTGTAAAGAACTAAACTTTAAAAAAACAAATTACTTAAATTAGTAGCCTCCATAAAAGAGTATAGCGCATTTCAAAGTAAACTAAAATAAATTTTTTTTAGTTTATTTTGAAATTATTATTTGATTTTATTATATAAAATCAAATAATAATGTCCTGATATTTGAGACAAACCTACAATATATATCTAATCACCTCAGAAAACCTCAGTACCAAATTACTTAAGGAAAAAGTTACGAAAATCTACAAAATAGCGCAACTAGAAAAGCAATAAACAGCGAAGCCAAAACTTTAGCTAAAAATCTCAACTTAAGTAAACAAAAAACAAAAAAAAATGATGGCAAAACCAGAAGCTTTGATTACACTTAAAGATCATAAAACCAATTTCGAAAACAAAAAACAATGTTGTTTATCAAACTCTGCCAAAAGCGAACTCTGCAAAATCAGCAAAACATACTTAGACAAAATTAATACAAAAATTAGAAATTTATTAGAACTCAATGGAAAATATATCTGAGGTCTCAAAATGGTTTACCAAATTAAAAGAAAAAGAAAAATGTTCTTTTATCCAACTCGACATTAACTCTACCAAATATCTAAAGTCAATATCGGGCTGTATCGTGATGACGACTTAATAATACTTTGAAATAAATCTATGAAACATTGCAATAATATTAAAAAAAAAAAAAAAACAGAAAAGAAATTCTTCAAATAATTACGTTTAAAATAAAAATGAAAATAAACTTAAATACAGTAAGCTTCATAGAGTAACTCTTAATCTTGCTAAAAACTTTTATCAACCATATGAAAAACTAAATGACCAACTTATATACATACACACAGATTCCAACCACCTGCAGCAAATAATTAAGCAAATACCCAATGGTAGATTATCAAAAAACTCTTTTAGCAAAATCTTTTTTGACTCATCAAAAACGGAGTAGGTACGAAGTATTACAGAAAATTACTATAAAAACTTTACACTTAAGTATAATCCACGGACAAAGGTACAACAAAAGAGCACAAAAATAATATTATGGTTTAACCCACCCTATAGTAAAAATATTATTCAGCCTAATCGCAAATAATTTTCTACCATCGCACCCTTTGCATAATTTGTTTAACAAAAACACAGAGGAGCGTCCTAATAAAAAATCTGAGATCAAAATGTCGCCATGAAAATAAATTTTATTTGGATGATCATGAACCTAAAGATTGACACAAAATAAAGCCTACTTAAGGGTGATTTAAAAAAAGCGTGACTTAAAAAAAAACAATTTAAAAAAAGCCATTAAAAAAGCTACTTTAAAAAACTAAAACAATAGATGCTAAAATGTTAGGTACATTTGTTAGACAAAAAAATATCATAATTATATCATAATTTTATTACATGATGATGATTCTCTGAAAATAAAATATTTGATTTCTGACATGGAAATGGGTCTCCTGCTTTAAAATAGTCCCGGACCTCCCAAAGATCTGTAATCCACCACTGTACATACGACTAAAAATATTTAATTGTTAGTTTTCATTCCCCATATTGTAATAAAATGAAAAAATATAAGTTTAAACAGAAAACACCATAGAAAAGTGTCAACTTCTAAAAAAGGTCTTGCCCCATCACACCTGACAACTTATTGGGTTGTCAGGTGTGATGGGGCGTTTTTTTTCCAATGTAAATCAAGTTGGGTCTCAAAATAAGTAAAATTTAATAGAATATTTATAAATAACAATCTTATTTTAATCCAACCATCTTACAGATGTTTAAAAACGTCTCAAAATCTCTAAAAATTTTGTACCACCTTAAAAATATTTTTTAATAAAAAATTTCACAAAATCCTTTTTATAAAATTTTGCTACTTTTGAAGTCTTTGTTGCTACTTTTGAGATGTTAATATACTTTGGGAGAAAAATATTTTTGGTTATATATAGTCTCGTTGGTTTGACAAGGTTCTAACTGATTTTTTATATATTAGAAAAAATAGCACTTAATTTTTCTTTTTTTTTAAATATCTAATATATTTTAAAAAAATAAATAAAAATATTTGTGTAACTATTTCTTATTTATTTATGAAGTTTTACATCAACCGAAAAATGAATACACAAGCAAATGAAAAAACAATAGAATATATAATTTTAATTAAACATTAAAAAAAAAAAAAAAATTTTTTTCTAAATTCTTCAAATAAAAAAAATTTCAGTTAGAACCTTGTCAAACCAACGCCACGATATGGCACCCACCATATTAAAAAAACTTTATGCCATTGAGTGATTTGGGATGTGACTTTTTTAAAAGTTTATATTTGTAATTGGCATTTTTTGATACTTACACAAAAACTAATAAACACAACGCAAAAAATAATAAGGGTTAATCTTTTAAAGACAGTCATATCCTTAGTAAATATATATCATCAGTAGGTTCATCATTTCCTGATGAACCTAGTGATGGTGAAACAAATTGTTAAAGACAAGATAAAGGTAAGTGTTTTCACTATTTTATTATTGCTCTGCTCTTTAAGAACATCAAGCACTCTCTCATCAATTTGTAGAATACTCTAAAATAATAATAATGTTATCATAGAGATTTGTTAGACTTGGAAATATACTGGATATTATTAGATTATATGATTTATAAAAAAGTTTTTTTTACTTTAACAATGATTTAATAAAATATTAATAATAACGATATCCTCATTAGGTCCAAAAATAAAAGTAAAATACTTTAGTGTCCACAAGGTTATTTTTGTTCTTGTACAAAATTTTAATGAAAACAAATATTTAAAAGATGACAGTTTTTACGTTATCTTAAATAAAATAGCTGTTGTTAAATGTCGATTTTTGATTTAAAAGGTAAGGCTAAAATTATAAATGACATTAAAAATAAGAAATTAAATTAATAAGACTGATTCTCCATTCAGCTACATTTTTTACAAAACCCATTTTGTGCAGCCAGTTCATAAAACTTCTTAAAAATTGAATCAGATGTTCACTGTCCTGGTGGTTTCTTAAAGAACGTCCAAAATTTTTCTTTGTCTTCTTTCATGAAGATCCTAAATAAAAATGTTGTCTTTTCTGTCCCTAGATCCTTATATTTTAACTGTTCAGATTCATTTTTTAACTTTACACGCCAAGGGGTGTCTCCCAATGCTAGTAAATTTAGATTTTGCTCTTCTTTTTTTTTGATAGACGCTGACACTCTGTCATCTAATAAAGCTATACCAACAAGAAGTTCCGAGAGAAGCCAGAGGTACCTTCTTCGGATAGATCTTCAGATTTGACAAAAGTTTATGTCATATAGAGGGGCTCAGATTCCAAATGGCGCTTCGTTTCACTATTTGATATAAGCAAGACTAACAAGAAGAGCCTAATCTATGATATTCTCGAACTCAGCTGGAACTGAGTTTTAAAAAGAAAAATTTTCAGTGCGTAAATGGCTTTTCCATCCATCTTGCATGATGTGTTAGACAGGGAGCTTAAATTTCTTGCTGCTTTTTTGTCTGGATAAACTTTAAAATTTCTGATAATCGTCTTTTGGGTATTTGTTTTTCACAAGCTCTTAGTAAATAGACAGGTGTTTAGACAGGTATTAGACAAGTTCTTAGTAAATAGACAGGTATTTCCTGTCTCAAGTTCTTAGTAAATAGACAGGTATTTCCTGTCTCAAGTTCTTAGTAAATAGACAGGTATTTCCTGTCTCAAGTTCTTTAACATTGGGTCCTGAAACAGTTAATCAATTGCTGTACAAAAAAGCGTCTTGTTTCATTAATGGCCATTTCTAAAATTGCTCGAGTATTGCACTTGATCATTTTTAGCTTGAACCAAACAAAGATCTGAAAAGGGGCAACTTCCATGACATGATGACAACGTGCAATTTAGATCATTTTAGTTCTCATAACTTCTTTAATTCCAACACATGTTAGTATCGAATGCAAGACTTTTGATCTCCGAACTCAGATTCCATTTCTTAATTACCTCAACGCAAGCATTTACTTGAGCTTTTCTTGTTCTTCTATCTATTTTTAAAATACCCAACAATTTTTCCATTGCCATTAGATAAAAATAGCCATTGATAAAATTAATAACATTTAATAAAGTTTTAGTGATAGGAAATTTCAATTAAGAAACTAAAAATACAATAACAAAAAAAGTGGCTTTTATCTCTAAATTATTATTATGAGCTAAATAAAAAATTACAAATAAAAATAATTAAAAAATATCAAATAAAAAGAATAACAAATAAAAATAATAAAAAATAACAAATAAAAAAACAAAAAATAACAAACAAAAAAAAATAAAAAATAATAAATAAAAATAATAAAAAATAACAAATAAAAATAATAAAAAATAACAAATAAAAATAATAAAAAATAACAAATAAAAATAATAAAAAATAACAAATAAAAATAATAAAAAATAACAAATAAAAATAATAAAAATAACAAGTAAAAATAATAAAAAATAACAAATAAAAATAATAAAAATAACAAGTAAAAATAATAAAAAATAACAAATAAAAATAATAAAAAATGACCAACAAAAATATCAATAAACTCTTAAGCCTGATACTAACTTTTGTCAAAATTGATTTTATAAAAGCAAGGAGATAATTTACATCTTGTTATTGATATAATATATTTAACATAACAAATAAACAATTATTGTAATTAAAAAGTATAATAAAAATTATTACAAAATAATTAAGACTCAAATTATGCAAGTTTTATTAAAACAACAATTAAAAACTTCTTGTTTACAGTAAATTAAATTTTTGGACACAATTTTCGCAAAAATTATACCGAACAACTTTAGCATCGATCAGGTTTATCAAATGTTCAGCATTCAACTGGTGGTCAAACGCCATTTCGATCAACACATTTGACATGTTTACTGCACATGTTCTTTGGACGTACTGGTAACTTTTATCGGTTGTTGACTTTTGGGCCAACAAATAACGATCAATTTTAGTATTAGATTTGTGTTTAAGACAGCTTACTCAGATTGTGTTCATTTCTGGTACGAATTTTTTAACTTTTTGGTTTTTTCTTGTTAACAGTAAAATCAATTCAGAACATTTTAAATTGTTTTGGTAATATCAATGTTTAAAAGTATATATAAAAGAGTTTTAATTTTGGATATTTTTTTTTATCTTTGTAGTCGTATAAATAGTTATATCTGAGCTAAAACAGACTAACTGAGCTGAAATTGAATTCATTTCCATGGTTACAAATTCACAGAAGTGTCATAAATGTTATTGAAAGGTTTATTTGTAACTCTTGAAACTAATAATGATTAAATTAGCAAAAAGAGAATATTAAAATAAATTTAAAGTTAAATATACCTCAGAGTATTACTTACGATCCTAATATTTTAGTCTGAAGGGATAACACGTCGGAAAACATAGTCCTTAGACCTCCCTTGACACCTGAGGTCCGTCACTTATTTTAAAAATTTGAGACAAATTAACCTTTTTATAGTGTTTGCTAGCACACATTTTAATAAGATATCTATATTTATTTATTTAAATTTACTATTGTTTATTTATTTAAATTTCAAACAAAATAAATGCTATATAAATGTATTATATACATAACACATGTATATATGGGCCGCAGTAACAGTTTTAAAATGAAAAAAGAAGAGAAGAAAAGGCGGTTAAAACTCTTTTTTTTTTATTATAATGTATATATGTATATATATATATATATATATATATATATATATATATATATATATATATATATATATATATATATATATATATATATATATATATATATATATATATATACATATATATATATATATTTATATATATTAAAATGATTTAGAAGAAGGGCAATTGTCCTTGTCCCTGTTGCAACGGCTCGTTTATACTTACGTCAAAAAAATTAAAATAAAAATACTTTCGTAAGTGTAATATAAAATTTATTTTGCGCGTTTATTGCACAATAAGATTACCAGAAGTTCTAATAATAGTCTTTCATTCTTTTTATAGAACTCTTTCCATGGCCATACAGAGTAAACAAGACGTCCACACAAGCATGTAATTAGCATCTTCACTAAATCATTGTCATTACTAAATCTCACTTTCAAGCATGATTTTTAATATTGGTGAAAATCCGACCATGGATGTTCTCCGCATGATTTTGCATTACGTAAGTTTAAAGTTACAAAGGAAAATAAAAAACGGAAGCAAAATTTTTATTTAAAACGAAATATTTTACTTTACTTTATATTTGACGTTTTAAAAAACTGCGATTAACTTAATCTCCACGTTTCAACAGTTTGCAATCTCCATGTCAACAGTTTGCAATTGCCTTTTTTCAAAAAATGAAAGCGTGGAATTCACATTACCAATTTATGATAAAATATATGGAAAAAAAAAAAAAAAATCAATGTTTTTGTTAATTTTTTGAAATTTTAATATCTTATGCAAAATTTAAATAAAATATACAAAAATAATATGAAATTATTGTAACCTGTACCCTTTTTGAAAAATCATAGTTTTTTTTAACATTTTGATACTTAATTTTGCAAAAAACTAAAAATTATATAAATATATATATATATATATACATATATATATATATATATATATATATATATATATATATATATATATATATATATATATATATATATATATATATATATATATATACATATATATACATATATATATATATATATATATATATATATATATATATATATATATATATATATATATATATATATATATATATATATATATATATATATATATATATATATATATATATATATATATATGTTACGATTAAATTAAACATAAAATATTAGCATGTTATGCACTAGCGTTGTAGTTTGTCATAATAAGATTTTTTTGTCTTTCTACTGCGCTGTCGGTTTAATATGGAGATGAACCAAACTTGACAATTGAAATATAATACAACTGCTAGACAATATTTGGCAACGTGACATATAGTCATTGCAAGATTAACTGTTTAAAAATTATTGTAATAATTTCCATTTCTGTTTCTTAGTCGCTGCAACAAAATAAAGCTGATCAAGTATCATTGCAAACAATATTACCAACAGCAGAGCAGCCAATAACAAGAAGTCCATCTCCTCATAAAGAAAATGACGGAAACCGAAGACTGCACGTTACTAACTTGCCATTTAAGATAAAAGATGTTGAGCTAAAACAGTACTTTGAAGTAGGAAAAGTTATTTATTTTTTAATTTCTTATTTTATTGTTTATAATACATTATTTTATACTTTATCAACAATCGCGATAGTTAATGTACACGCATCAAAAAATATGCTAGAACAATATTTAAGTTCAATTTCTGTTAAATTATTCTGATACCAGACATCAATGGTTAAGTAAAATAGAAAACTTCTGGGAAAAAGATCTTCGCGATCTTCTTTTCGATACTTTGTTTACGTAGCTAACTTAGTTACGTTAAAGTTTATATTCGTAACAAGTTTATTACTGTATATAATGCATGTACTAAAGTCATTAGAAAAAAACTCAAAACTGTGCAAATTACACCAAACAAATATCGAATGGTTTTCAAAAATTATTATCTAAATATTTTGTTGAATAATAAAATACATTTCGTATATATCAAATAGTCATTTGAAATTTATATAATATGTGATTATTAAATAAAAAATTAAACCTTGTTTTTTTTAATTAAAGGGATTCGGTCCTGTTCAAGATGCAGAAATTATTTATAATGAGCGTGGATCAAAGGTATGCAAAAAAAATTTTTTTTTAAGAAGAGATTGCCATCATAATAACGGTGAACGGTGGAAAGAAAATTTAATCCTAATAATTTTTGAAATATCTATATCTATATCTATATCTATATCTATATATATACATATATATATATATATATATATATATATATATATATATATATATATATATATATATATATATATATATATATATATATATATATATATATATATATATATATATATATATTGGACACACATATTAAAAGATGAACCTTGATTCATTAAAGGGTTTTGGATTTGTTACCATGGTTACAGAAGCAGATGCAATAAAAGCTAAAGAAGCATTAAACGGAAAAGAAATCGATGGAAGAAAAATTGAAGTATATAAAAAATTTCTATAAACACGTGATTTAAAATTAAGTTATAAAATAAAAAACAATTGATTTTAATTTAAACAATTAAAAAAAACAAAATATTTTAGTCAAATAATTATTTTATATTAATACCTATTTGTATATATACATTTTTTAAAATATCTGTTTCTCTTTAATAGATAAATTATGCAACGCCAAAAACCTCCTCTAAAGGTAAACGAATTCCTTATTTTATTCTTAAACGTAAAAGCTGATAATATAAATAGTTAGATAGATATTAATTTAGTGAAAACTATTTTTAAGAGAAAATGTGTAATATTTAATAGAAATTTTCATTTTGAATAAAAAGTGAAATGAAGACTTCTAAAAGTATTTAGAAAAATGTATCTAGTCTTATTATCATAACTTGTTTGAACTTCTATAAAAGATTACAGTTACACCTGTTAATTAAATTATTGTTGAAAATTAGTGTTTGCCTAATCTAAAAAATTAGAGGTTATATGCTTGAGTCTACAATCAGTCAAGCATAAAATGCTTAAAATGTAATTATAATATTTAAAATATTATAGTTCGATCAAAAGGAGGTCGAAGTCCGTCTGCACAATCAAACCAAGCTAACCGCATTATCAGAACAGCTCCAGTCTACCCAAATTGTCAACAACATATAAAACAGACGTAAGTATAAATCTCATTTCAAGATAATTTTTTAAAATGCAGTTTTAGTGCCGAGAATACCATTTTTAAAATATTAGATATTTTAAATTATTTGAGATTTTTTTAATTTCAATCATATTATTTTCTTAGAGTACCTGTGATTCAACCTTACCAGATGGCACCACCACCTATTCCTTCCCTGGCAACTTTAAGTGCTTCACTGCATAACCCATTGCTACAGTAAGATATTTTAAATTTTTAATTCGTTTTTAAATTTAGCACATGTTAATTGCTCTTAAATTTAGCACTCAATTTTTTAAATTATCTTAAATGTTGTTGTTTTTTTAATTTTAGATACCAACATGTGCCAACACCTGTAAGATTTTTTTTGAAACCATAGTTTTATTTTAATTAAAACAAAAAAAAACAAAAAAAACAGTTTGTTGTTTACAATACTTTATAATACTTTAGGAGCAGTATGCGCAGTACTACCATTACCTTACTACACAAGGTGCCGTACACAACCCATACCAGACAGCAAACAACGCCGCATACAGATACCAGCCGTATTAAGAATGCGATGCGATTCTTTCCATAGTGCCCAAATATGTAGTTATTAAAGCTTAATTGACGAAGTTAATTTTTTTTTCAAAGTATGGATGTCGAACAATAAAAAATTTTAATTCGAATAATATTATAGTAAAACTATAGAAGCAAATATTTTAATTTATAGATATGTCAACAATGCTTTAAACAAGTCTATTACGCTTCAATGTAAATTACCTAATGTATATTTTTTTATTTGATACTATTGTTATATTTAAATAAATTTTTAGTTTTGGATATATTTTGGTTTAGAAAATAAATAACTGATTAATATTTTTATTTAGTCTTGTTTCATTTTTTTTTAAGAATATGATTAAAATATTGTACAATACACATTAAGTTTATGTATATCGTGCAATATCAAGGATACACCAAGTTGAAAAATAATACAATAACAGACAGTTGTATGTTCCATACGTAGCTCACCAAGTTGAGTTTAAGCCAGCACCTAAGTTATTTTCGTTTGATATGTTTTTGAGTAAAAAAGAAATATCTTTGTTGCAGTTAACAGACTTTATCTTCTTTACTGATACGATTCCACTTTTATCTTTTTTTGCAACTTTCGCGTTGTCCCCTTTCGTTTTGTTTACATATTCCTTTTCCGATTTCGTTTTACGTTTTCTAGAATCACCAACGACAGTACCGTCACTTAATTCTGATTTATTTATAAATTGACTTTTTAAAATATTAGAACTTAAATACTGAGTATCGTCTGGTTTGTTTTCGGATGTATTTGCTAAGCTCGTTTCTTTTTTTATTTTTTTCGACTTTTTTGTGTTCTTCTCCGTCAATTCTTTTTTAATTACTACTTTTTTTTTTACTTTTTTCTTCTTCTTTAATTTAGTTTTTTTTTCTAACTCCACTGGATTTTTTCCCGATATTTGAGTAATGTTTAAATTACTAGAGATAAATCCCCGCTCTTCGGTTTCCTTACTTTTCACATCTTGATCTATGTTGTTTTTTGTAACTACAACAGCAGGTTTATTCTGCAACTGCTTTAGATACATTTCTAAAAAAATATAAACATATTAATAAAACTACATGCAAAGTAGGATATATACTAAAAATATTTATTATAGCTTTACACTAATACAACAAAATTAAACAGATTATATAGAACTGTATTACCGGGTGAACAAAACGAAAACTTCAAGTATTAGTGAATTTTTTTTGAGAAAAAAATTCACTAATACTAATTTCCTTGTTTAAAATTGTTTTTTTTTAGTCTTTACATACTATTAAGTTTACATGGTCGTCGTAACATTTGACGTCGTCGTCGTCTTGACATCATCGTAATAATATTGTCAACCTTGACGTATTAAATTTTCAATTTTATATGTAACAAAATATTTCAATTCTCACTTTTCTTTCAAAATGTATTTGAAAAACATTAACTATCAGACAATCTAAACTTTTTGCATATGGTGAATTGAATATTTTTTAAACACCGTTTTTATCTACGATATCATTAACGTAATAAGACATAAACAAAAAAATGTATTGTTTTTAATTTTAACGACTTTAGCCATAATACTAATTTCATTAACTCTGAATAATTGCAATAACTTGTTTCACTTTTACAAAAAACATAAACATTTTAAAATTTAGGCTGTGTTTATTACTTTGATTTTATTACTGTTTAGCCACCTACTAAACTAAAGTTCACATAAAAACTTAAAACAATTTGAAACAAAACTTTCGCTTATTTGCAGCAATCTTCATCAAACCAGTAACTTTGTATATCAATATATTCAACACCTTTTTGTCATTATCTTTTACAAATTTTCAGTATAGTAAAATGGGGTAATATCGCCACCGATTGTTTAAATTTAAATAACTTAAGATGCAAAAATGCAAATAGAAAAATTTTTTTGTTATTAAATTTTTTTTAACATCAAAAATTTAAAAAAAAGAAATTTTTTTATTAATTGGAACAGAAAAAAATGGGGTGACAAAATTACCCCAATAAAATCTAAGTTGTGCTAATTTCGCCACCTTAATTATTTACAACACTTGTTTAAAAATCAATGATTATATTACGCAGTTAACTTCGACAACAACTTTGACTCGCTTTTTGGGCTTTTGATTTTATATTTGAAGATGCTTTTAGAGATTCTCTTCACATACTTAGCTAGCCAATTGTATTTCTTCTTGAACTAATTAAGACTTATGATAGTTGGGATGCTGTTGATGGAATTGATGGTGCTATTTGTGAAAAGTTAATGAAATTGCAGGTGGTATTTGTGAAGATGTTGATGAAGTTGCTAGTGCTATTTGTGAAAACGCTAATGGAGTTGTTCTTGTTGGTTGGCTTCTTGTGGGTGCTGGTGGATTGTATAGCTCTGAAAGCTTGAATTTCTTTCTATCGACTGCGTTTTTATTTAATGAATAGAGACTTGTATTTTCAAAACCACGGACAAGTTGTGATTTTTCGAAAGCCTGTTCAAATGAATATAATTTCGATAGCACGAAGAAATATTGGCTTAACAACGTTTCTAAACCCAGTTTTTTTGTAGTGTTGTTAAAGAATTGATCGCCAAACGTTTTTAACATGACATTAAACGCCTGAATCAAGTAGTTAGAAAAAATGCTGAAAAATTTTTATTATTTTTATTATCAATTATGTCGAGAGAATCTCACGTCATTCTCTTGACATAATTGAATCACTGCCATAGAAACATGACTTAAATGACCATCAGCTGCTAAAACTACTAAACCTTCGCACTTTGCATTTTTAAAAGTAATGAACACTGATTTAATCCATTGTGAAAATTGATCCTCCTCCATTCAACCAGAAGGAGACACAGTGTAGCACGTACCAGAAGTTGCACCAATACCCCATTAAGCCCAAAAATATTTTGCTATGTAGATAACAAAAAATGGCATTTTACTCTATAAGTTCTGCTACTCTAATAAATCTTCTTTTAATGCAAAAATTTATATTACTACATGTTAACCAAGTACAGATGTTATTAAGTACTTTTAGGTGCTTAATACAAGGTGGAGTGGGAAATAAAAGAGGGTTGCGAATTTTTGTACAGATTTAATCAAGGGAAGAGAGGGGTCTTAATAAAAGGGTGGGTGGGAATCTTTTATCTAACAAACTTTATAAAAGTGAGATTATGTTGATAGAAGAGGTTGGGATTTCGTTTTCAGATGTTAGCAAGGGTTTCTTCAAAAAGAGCCTTTCGAATAAACGGAGGGAGAGATGAATCCTCCCCAACATACAAACAGGATTTCCCAGAAGGAAATGAGCAACATTTTAAAACAGGTTTTATTATCAACTTTAAAAAACTACAAAACACTTGATGGTACTAAATAATTTTTTTGTGATGAGCCCCGAAAAACCGCAAAAGACATTATGTTTTTTGCGGTTTTTACCAAGTGCTCGGAATATATAAACATATTGGATGTCTGGCTAGTATGCGGGGAAAAACTGACAGATAATCAGGACTGAGCCAGAGACCCGCCTTTAAATAGTATCATTAACAAAGACAAATCGTTTTATCAACTACACAAAGGTATGATTTTAATACCTCTACCAAGGATATGACTTCTTAATTCACTTCTCAAGCTAATGACCACACTCTTACTAACATCCAAAATTAGCAAGGTAATTCATTGCTAGACATTCTAATCATTGCAACTTCTGTTGATAAAGTTATTTCTTGCTTAAACCTTTTTGCACCTTGTGATTTGGATAACTTACAAAAGCGTTTTCCAGAACTCCCTTTGATACTATTTAAACAAATTAGCAAGTTCCTAATAAGTTATTGTTTTTCTGCTACCTGGAAAATGGAAAATGTAGTTCCTATTATTAAAAACTCTGAAGACTACTCTGAACTCTTCAAATATCTTCCAATGGATCTTCTAACTTTTATTAGCAAGGTCATTTCGTTAACAAACTTAAAGTATATTATTCCATATATAAATCCAACAACCTAATTTCTAACAATTAATACGCATTTTAATCTTCTTGTTCTACTGCTGATTTGTTAACTGAAATAACAAATAGGTTCTTTTGTACATTAGGTGGGAATGGTGACACAAGGGTATTTGTTTTGATGCTTTTAAAATCTTAAAAACTTTCAATAAAATTTGCTTGTCTTCTCCATCTTTTCAGATGGCGTATCTGGAAAAATTTTCAAAATTACTGAACTATTATTATTCCCAATTTGAAGTCATCCTTAATGGACTACAATCTCTTCATTTCCAGTAACCTATAGGATACAGAAAAGTTTCATACTATTTGGCACAATTTCTTGTTGATGAACCTTTGTCTTTTATTTCAATGTTTATTATCTTTGATGCAGCTGATAAAACCTTTGGACAACCACAAAGTTTCTTTTCATGAAAATTGTTATAAACAGGGTTTCTCTAAACGCTTTTTTCACTTGAACCAATTGCTTCAACTGTTTCAGATTTTGATTTGCCTAATCTACCTAATTCAGCAAACCGTTTCTTAAGTGAAAATGTCTCACCTATCTTAAAAATGAAAAAGCAGTTATATGTGTAAAAATAGCAAAATAAGTAAATGGACAAAACGTTTGGTGCAATATGAGATAACAATAAAGTCAAAGTGACCAACAACTTTACATAAATTAGTCTGTTTTAAAACTTAAATTTGTTTTGCAGATGTTATTAACCATTCATGTGCATAAAACTCACCAATGTATAACTTCAGTATTTCTGATTTTTAAAAAGGAACATCTTTTTTAAATTGAAGTTTGTAATTTTAACAAACCATTGGTCATGCCTAAAAAAGAAAATACCACAAAAACTTTTAACTGCAAAATAGGTACAAAATAGTTTTACAAAAAAGACCAGACATGAAAAGCGGACTAAACTTATGGGCCACCCTGTATATTGATGATCTTCTTGACCATTAAAGCTTTTTTATTGTAAAAACAATAAATTCTAGTTTTAATAAGTCATCACCTTTTGACAGCTCAGACCAACCCTCTGTGATAACTTGAACTTTGTAGTGGCTACTAAATTTTAATCCAAACAAAAATCAGTTGTTTAATGCTATAATCACTGCAACAATGTCAATATTCCCATATTAAGACTCAGTCACATTTGTAAGGTTGTAAAATTGCATCTCTTTCCTTGATGACAAATCAACGCTTATACTATCTGTCATTCAGCAAAATTGCATTCTTTAAATGTAAAACTCCTTCAAGCTAAAAAAACTTTTATTTATTTAGTTTTTTTACTCACGCATTAATCTATTGAAATTCTATTTTGTCTTCATGTTTTCCTGAATCTCAAATTTTTTTTGGCATGGCAAATTGTTTTCTTTATCTATAATTCTTTTTTATATATCCTAGTACGTCAAAAATTAAATAGTGGTTGCAGCTTTGTAAAATATAAATTTTCTGAAAAAAAATTCAAGATTAGTCTTTTATATCATTGAAAATTTATCAAAAAAACTTTCGTTGATTCTGGAGGAACAGTTAGTAAAATGCTTGGTTTCACATGGCTAAAAACAGAAGTAGAAAAAGGTTATTCTATAACCAATATTTTATTAAAATAATGAAACCAATTTTTAGAACAAACAGTATACTTTCTATCAGGAGTGTTAATTCTTTTAATAACAAATAACCACTTTCTATAATATATAACTGTAAAGAGTGCATTTATTCTTATCCATTAACCAGTCTCTAGTTTTTTTTACAGTTTGTACAAGTCTTGGGTTTTAAATAGATATGCTTGTGTGTTTCAAAAATGTATTTTAATTTAATATTTTTTTTTAACAAAAACAAAGCCTAAGTATTAAATCAGTAATTTGTAACACTAATTTCCATTTAAAAAATGAAATCGATAATTTTTCTTTAAATCTTTTCAAACTAATTCAAAATATATCAAACTAATTTTATACACTCTAAAAAAAACAATTCTTGATATTTACCATTTAAGTTCTTGAAATCTAAAAGCTTTAAATGTGGTAATAAATTCTTGATCTAAATAACAATTTTCATTCAACAAAATTAAAAATGTATTAAAACAACAATGATAACATTTCTATGCATTCTCTTATACCTTTGTGTAATAATCTTCTAAACTACATAATGGGTTTCCCTTTAAGTTTAAATTTTCCAAAAATGGCAATTCTCCAAGAAGTTTTATGGATCTAAAAAATGCTCATGTTTTTAAAAACCATTTTTCAATTAGTAATCTTAAGAGTAACAACTTGCATAAATTATGATCTTAGTGATTTTTAAAATATTATTTTGCATAAATTATGATCTTAGTGCTTTTTAAAATATTATTTTGCATAAATTATGATCTTAGTGCTTTTTAAAATATTATTTTGCATAAATTATGATCTTATGGATTTTAAAAATATTATCTTGCATAAATTATGATCTTATGGATTTTTAAAATATTATCTTGCATAAATTATGATCTTATGGATTTTAAAAATATTATCTTGCATAAATTATGATCTTATGGATTTTTAAAATATTATCTTGCATAAATTATGATCTTGGTGAATTTTTAAAATACTATTTTAGTGATTGGAAAACACAGTAAATAAGTTAACAAATCTCTATAATAAGTAAAGACTTACTCTATAGTAGAAAACTTATTGTTTCCAAGATCAATAACTTTAATTCTATATTAAAAAACAATAAGAACTATAAGAATTTTAACACACAAAACAGTTACTCTAAAAATTTAGGTAACAACCTTTTGCATTTTGGAAGCCATTGTGGAAGATTTTCAATAACGTTATTGTTTAGTTTGACATCTTTGATATCTTTTTGTTTCTAAAAAATCATTAGAAATAATCATAACATTTATAAAATTTATTTCAAAAAAAAAAAGGAGTTGTTTAATTCTAATATATTTTTAAAATAAAAATATATTTAAACAATATAAAAAAATGCATTTTTAACTCAATTTTAACTCAACTGGAAATATTATTATATATTCCATCAAATTTTAAAATGCTAATAATAATAATAAATATAAAGAATATGATTAAAATGATACATAAATAATTAATAACTAACAATATAATTTTAACGAATTAATGTCAATGTCAATATATATTAACAGACATTTTAAACTTAAACTATACTAGTATAGTATAAATTTTATTAAACAGTTTATAAATAGCAGCTATGTTATTTCACAACAATAGCTACTTTAATAACTGTATAAAACAATTAAATGATAAACAATAAAATTAACTGATAAATAATATTGCTAAAATTAACTGATAAATAATATTGCCACAACTTACTGATAAATAAAAGTGCTATAATTAATGATAAATAATAGTGCTATAATTAATAATAAATAATAGTGCTACAATTAATTGACAAATAAAATACTTGAAAATCAGGAATCTCATATAAGCAATTGTGGGATGCAGAAAACTTTTGAAGATTCGGAAGATTTGTTACATTAATACTTGATAAACGATTATGTGAAAGAACTGAAAGAATATATATATATATATATATATATATATATATATATATATATATATTATATATATATATATATATATATATATATATATATATATATAATATATATATATATATATATATATACAGTGAATCCAAAAATTATTGGCCCACCCTTGCATAACTACTTTATTTTTGCTGGCATATAAGAACTATAGGAAAGAATTACTAAGTGTTAGTATCATTGTGTCGTCTGTTATCACTAGTATATATACAACAAGTTTCAGCTTTTCAATTACTTTCGTTCTTGTTTTATTGAGAAAACAGTATAAGTTTGTTCAAATATTATGTACAAAAATTATTTGCCCAGAGAAAAGAAAAAAATTTTTGTCCATCGCGAAACAGGTAATTAATTGAATCTAGTATCGTGTTGGGTAACCTTTCATCTTGATGCATTCTTGTAATCTACTTGGTACTGAATCAACAAGTTTCTGGAGAACAGACAACTCGACATTATTCCATTTGTTCTTCAAGAGGTCTCCAAGTTCGTAGATATTTTTCGGCTTGTGTTTCTTCATCCTCCGG